TTTCTTCCGATTTTTGTTTCCAGAACACTAATTGTCCTTTGCTTGCAAATTGCCGTATTGTAATTTGTTAATTAATGCTAAGTTAATTTCCCTGGAAAAATAAACGAGCTGATGTGGTTATCTCCTCGCTCGCGGGTGCTTCGCGAGCGGCCGGGCGTGTACGTGTGCGTGTTCGTGTGCGTGCGTGTGTGCGCGCGAACGTTTGACTACCAGACAGAGCGACCGACAGACAAGTAGAGATTTTCTGAAGATGGATAACTCATTAGGAGAGATACTTCACAAGCATCCTTCATCCCTGGTTCAAACGCTGATCACATGTAGAGCCAGGCATTTCGGTGAGCCTTCCTCATCTCTACAAAAAAAGGCCTTGACTCATCTTCCTCTTTTTCCTTCAACTTTTTTTTGCCTCTTCTTCTCCTACTTTGCCTTTTTTCATCGCTGCGTACTGTTGCTGCTTTTGTTTTTTGTTTTGTGTGTGTGTGTGTTGTAGTCGTTCATCTAGTTTTTTTTTTGTTTTACTGTTGTTGTCGTTGCTATTGTTTTGTAGTTTCATTTTGTTGTTGTCGCTACTGCTATTGTTTTAGCTATTTTGTTATTTTGTTGTTTTCTCCATTCAACCATCTCTACTCCCTCTCTCCCTCCCACTTCCCTCCTTACCTTCTTCCCACTTCTCTCCCTCCCACTTCCCTCCCTCCCTCCCTCCCACTTTCCTCCCTCCCTTCCTCCCTCCCTCCATATTCCTCCCCTCCCTCCCTCCCTCCCCCCCACAGACACATCCTTTATCCCCCAACGACATCCGTATGGTTGGCATCTTTCCAGCGTGTGAACACTATTAGGAACTGGAAAATACAGTCGGTCCCGCTCGAGATGGCTCCAGAAAGTACGTCTTTTATCGATTTACTTTCTCTTCCCTGTTGTTCGTCTGTATATTCATTGTCTCTCCTATACACTGCTTTATATTTTCTTTCTTATTCCCTTTCTCTTCCGCTCGCTTGGCTTGTTGTGAATATGGAGTGAAATAACATGGCTGCCATTAGGGAGAAACCGGATGGTGTTGTTTTAAGTTCCAGAAATTTAAATAACTTTCTAAAACTTCAAGAGCAAACATGGATATAAAGACTTGAAACTGACAGAACAGAAGATAAAGCAAACGGAAATAAGAAATAATAGGGAAAGAATATATGCAGAGAAAGTTGAAAAAAAAATATAGAGAGAAGGGGACAGGGGAGTAAGCAAGGGAAGGAAAGAGATAAAAGGGAAATGCCACAAAATGAGCGAACGTCCCTTTAAATTGGGAATGCCTCACGAACTTGGCCCCGAGTGCGCGCGCGCGCGCGCATGCCTCCCTCACACTTGCAGCTCATCATTATCTCAGGATTGCAGAGGCGACGTGACAGCCCTTGCAATAGGGTTCCCTCCTCTCTACCCATTCAGCGGGATGAAAAAGGTCTGTGCTTCCGTACCTGTCCGTTCCATTTTGACAAACGACTTCTGTTTCCGTAATTTATCTATTCTGTCTTGGGCTGAAATCTCATCGCCTTCGGAGTAACTCTGCAAGCACACACAACAACCCCCAAAGTCACACGAGCCATCAGCCATTCATCGACGTTTAATTCAGGACTTCCAAAGGTCGCCCAGCCTCACGAAGCGCACCAGTGCCTCACCCGCCCTTCCTCTGACTCACAATTCAAGCGTACTCACCGGGGTCATATTCGTGCTCGACGTCCTCCACGATGGTCTCCATGCCGTAGCTAGGGGCGTCCCCGTTGTCGCCTAGGCCGCCCCGCATCCTATAGTCCCGTCTCTCTTTCACTTCCTCTTCTTCTTCCTCCTCGTCTTCTTCTTCTATCCTCCTCGCCTCCACCTCCTCTTTGTATATGTATTTGTGTTTTCTTACCTCCTCCTCCCCTCCTCCTCCTCTTAAACGTTTCTTGTGTGTGTTTCCAATCTTTCACGACTTGGCGACACAACCTCCTACGCGAATATCATGTGAAGTTGCCTCTGTGTCTATCTTCCTCGCGATTCCGTGCGCGTGGGCGTTCCCTTTCTTTTTTATTTTCTTTTTATTTTCTTTCGATCTTTTATTGCTCTCTTTATATTCCCTCTAATTTTATGACTTCTATCCCCCTTCCTCGACAGGGAGGGATATTTCGCTAGGCCTTCAAGAACCTCAACTTCACGAATTTAAATGTTAAGACCCGTTATCATCATCGCCACCACCATTCTTATCATCACCACCATCTTACGGCCTCGTACCTCTCCTTCCTCCCTCTCAAGGAAGATGGCCGCGGGTGGGTGCGAGCGCGCGCGTGGGCCAGCGCAGAATCTCCCTTTGCGTCTACAACACCCGCGGATGTAAAGCTCCCATCGCGAGTCGTTGCTGTCTGTGATCACATTGTTCACCTATTTCCAATTTGAAGGGGGAAATCTCTATTTAATATCACATCAGAAAATCAAGACAAGTTTCACTTTCTTTTCAATTCATTCTTGTTTTCTTTCTCTCTCTACGAAGCCCCACTTGCCCCATACCATCATACATACAACATGTTCCTGTCCTCCCTGCCCTCCAAGTTTCAAATTAATACCGAAGTTGTCTTAGACCCAACCCATTGTTTTCCTTTCATCCCCAGCAGAACCCCCCCCCCCTTCCTCTCCCTCCGCATAACCGCCACACAATGCCCTTCCCTTACCGCAGACGATCACCGCGGCAGCACAAGGACCACACAGCTCGCAAATGCCTCACGCGCACAAACAACACGGGCAAAGAAAGACCCAACGCACACAACACACGCACAAAGACCCGCCTGCACACCCCACAAAGACGCCCTCAAACCGGTGCAAACACGGCCCGAAGCGTCGCCCCGTACACACGTCCTCCGAGATCCACCTGCGGGCGCGCGCTGAGCCTCACTCCGACGCGATCGTCAGAAGGAACTCTTCCCCAGCACCACCGCGGCAGAAGCAGCCTCCCCGAAGGCAGTCGCCGCCCTGGAGAAAATTCCATTAGGCAGCACACGGCACCCGACCCACTTCTTGGGCAGATTTACAACCTTTGGCCCTGAATCAAACTCGAGAGATCAAAACTCTTCTTTTGCCCCAGAAGGCCCCGTGAATCCGTCTCGCCTCTCTCTCTCTCTCTCTCTCTCTCTCTCTCTCTCTCTCTCTCTCTCTCTCTCTCTCTCTCTCTCTCTCTCTCTCTCTCTCTCTCTCTAAGAGATAATCGCCCCTTTCTCTTCTCCACTTAATACTCTTCCATTTCCCCGGAGAAAGAACAGAGAAAAGAAATTATAAAAAAGGGGGCAATCCATTAAAAGGTTAGCGGGGCCACGCCATCCTTGGGATAAGTGGGACGGCCCTATAAAAGTAGGATTTTCGAAGGACTGAAGCAGTATGCGCCGATAACCTGCCCCTCTTCGCCAGCCCCACCCCCCTTCCCCTCGTCACTGACCCCCCCCTCCTTCCCCATTAACCCCCCCTCCATCCCCTCCACCCCCTCCCCCATCAGAGCGAGTGCATTCCGACATGGAGACAATATTCCGCCGGGAGACGAAATTGAGATTAGCCGGTAAAGGATTGCTAAGGGAAGAGCCCGTCATTTTGCCGTGCTGTTTTCAGCATAATATGACACAAATGTTCAAGGGTTCATAACATAATACAAATATCTGAATAGTCATGGCATAATACACATGAATTTCTTTTTAAATATTTGGATTTTGTGGTAATGAATAGTATTAAATGAAATGAACAATGACTATAAACAAGAGAATAAGCAAAAAAAAAAACAGTTAACAGCCGCAAAATACAAAACTTAAAAATACGAATAAAAGAAAGGAACAATAAGAGTGCTCGTACTTATACCTCGCAAGTGTTATCAAGGCAAAGGAACCGTTAAATTTGCATTACGCGAATAATAACTAAAGATAAGCATCGCCGCTAAAACGACACACAAGCGAACAATACTATTAAATAACACGAACGGTTGGTTTCCTTTTCCTTTCGAATAACTATAGCGACACGCGACTGCACAACCTGATAACCTTAATTATCCGAACAATTGCCAGAAAATGATTGCGTTTATCATTAATGCATTCCCGACCATACAAGTTATTATCAATATGAGTCGATTATGGCAACGGAATGGCAACGAGACCCAAGGCGAGAGGCTGGATGTCTGCCCCTATTAATCCGCGGATACAGCTCCCAGAAAGGCAAATAAAATGAAAACTGTTTCGTGAATGGCGCAAAATTCTTTGTAATTGTTGTATATATCTATGGAAATATATCTATACATAAATGCACGCACATATACACATACATAAACAAACACACACACACACAAACGCACACAAACACACACACACACACACACACACACACACACACACACACACACACACACACACACACACACACACACACACACACACACACACACCTCCCCACCCCTCGACACACACACATACACACACACACACATACACCCCTCCCCACCCCTCGACACACACACACACACACACACACACACACACACACACACACACACACACACACACACATACACCCCTCCCCACCCCTCGACACACATACACACACACACACACACACACACACACACACACACACACACACACACACACATACACCCCTCCCCACCCCTCGACACACACACACACACACACACACACACACACACACACACACACACACACACACACACACGAATGAATTGACCAATTAACCAGGAATTCGAATTTACTCTGCCCTCTCGACACGCCGGCAGATGGAAACTCATAGCTCTACGATTCACTCACGTCCTCCAAATGCAAACTCAACTGATGAGAACAAACAAACAAACAGCCAAAAAGACTCTCACTTCACCTCGCCTGGCAAATAAGAGGTATTCAGTAGATGGGAGGGGAGGGGAGGGGAGGGGAAAGGGATGGAAGATGGAGGAAGGGAAGGGAAGGGAAGGGAAGGGAAGGGATGGAAAGAGATAGTAG